GAGGATATTTATATAACTATTATATATTTTCTAATGTTTAGTTGTGATCAGCAGTCAACATGAGCAGAGATAATCAGGGCCCACCATATAAGCAACGTTTTAAAGGATTAGAAAATTTTCTGCGTCGAGTAGCATTCAATTTAGGTAAATACATAACGAACTCATTATTAACATAAGTATTAAGTACTATATAGAAAACAGCTGTAGAGCAAGCGGATCACGGAACACTAAATAGGAACTTTAAACGGACGATAAAAATACTAATGATATACATTAATACTATTACGATCACATAGATAATCGCAATAATAATTATTGTAAATTAAAACTTTAATAATTTAAATAAAATTCCAGGCAATACTCCGTCACAGACAGAAGTTAAAATAATTTCGTGCATTCCAATAGACGTGACAGACTTACAGCAGAAGATAAACTCTCTGGAGAGAGAGCTGCGCGAGGTGAAGGCTAGATCGCCTAGTGCCAACAATAGCAAGAATAATCGCGTCGCCGCCATTGTACAGACCGCGCTCGGGAAACCCAGCATGATGCGCAACAAGTCGCGAGACAAGAAGGCCGAGTGCAAGGTGCCCGTCTCCAACCACGCCTGCAACACTAAACCCAAGCGTGGCTTCAAACGGAAAATTTCTAAACTATTCGTCGTGTCGTCGTATTCCACGGAGGATAACACCGAAATATGCAGATTCGCCTATTCCGATTCGAACATCGCTGATATACCTACATCGATGTGTCCGGCAAAAGTTTCCAAAATAAGCAGCAAAATCTTTCCGAAAAGACTTCAGAAAGCCCTCAAGAAGAAACCCCGGAGGAAGACGCAACTGGTTTATTTCACACAGGCTTTAAACTCGCCTTTCAACAGCTACGATAAGACGTCGGACTTTAGCACGATCAATAGAAACCTCCTCTCCCGCGCCTACATCAACAAGATGATCCGCAAGCAGTACGAGCCGGAGCTGATTGGCGACCGGCTCACCGACACCAGCCAGTTCTCCTCGCCCGTGTGCCGCGACACCGCCCGCAGAGACCTGTCCTATCCTTCCGACATATCATGCTCCTACGGCAAATATGAAAACCTCGACAGGACTTATACCAAAACAAATCATATAAATATTGATGTTACCAATAACTTTCCTATCGATCCCGGGCCCGTTTCTAACCATTCCCATACTGAACGTAATAATTATAACAGATATTATAACTCCGATGATTATGATATATTCCCAGTAAGAGAGAAACCGATTAAACAGAAGAAAGAAGATGTGTTACCAAAACAAATCAAAAGGTTTAGTGCTGATTGCTGGCACAACAACACCAAAGTAAATCTAAGTCCGTTAGTATTCGCTAACGACGGCACTCGACGGTTATACGATTGCGCACGCGTTCCTTATAAAACACGTTACAAAAATGGTCATGAATTTACAATCACCAATATTCAGAAGAAAAAAAATCGAACTCATGTAAGCCAAGAAACGAATTCCAGTGAAGCTAAAATATGTTCTATAGATTATGGAGATATTTATGTGAAACAAAATCCCAGTCCCAAACCTCAACGCATTATTGCAGCAGAGCCCACGTTTAAAAATGCAGAATGTGTGACTGACAATACTAATAGCACGGAATGCCAGACTGTCGAGTCGAAAGGGGTCCAACTTAATATTCCGGACGAAAACAAGGCTGAAGTAGCACTAACTCAAATTAAAACCATATTACAATCTGTTTTGGCCGAGGTGAAGTCAAATATCAAGCAACACAACGTCGTTTCCAGACCTAAAAAAGATGTCGTCGTTCAAAAAGATATGTCGCACAATAACATCAGCTACGGGTCGACTCTGCTCAACAGTTTCAACTACAATCCATCGTACAACATTAATCCTTGCTTAGCAACGTACCCGCGTCAAGTTCCTAACTTCTACTACGCTAATATACAATCTCCTACTGTAAAATGCCTACAGAACTTCCCTCTAATATTTCCGAATATAAAACATCACGACTTCGAATGCCAACATATAGACAACGTTAACGAGGAGCCGAAGCCTGTGCAGTTGAAGCCGGCGATCACCACGGCAACCAACACCGACGGCCCCGCCTACACTTCACCGCCCAAGAGCGAGACCATGAACTTGATAAAAGAAATATACAAATCTATAGCACTAAACGTTAACTATTCCAGTAAAAACACTTCGCACATATCTATCGGCTACCCGAGGAAAGTTGCGCAATCTGAACCGAACACTGTCACCACAAAGGAAATGACGATATTAGAACAACATTCTGGTGAAGAAAAAGAAAATCAATTGGACATACCTGCAATTGTAATGTCGTGCGGCATCGACGAGGACCGAACTCACACCACCTCGACCAGCGAGGTACAAACTGAAGTGAGCAGCGAATCAGAGGGATTTGTCAACGAAGAATCTTTACGAACCATTAACGACGAAGAAGAAGATAAAGTGACATCAGTGGCTCAGGACTATGAAGCTTTTGACAAAAGTGAATCGAAAAATGAAAACGAAACGCGTTCGACCACGGTCGGCACTGAACGCACGCCGGCTGCCGATACAGAAACAGAAGTAAATAGCTTTTATAATTCTATTTATATTACTTTAAGTCAGTATTCAGTACAATTTTCATTAAACAAATGTTTATCTATAACTTACATATAGCAATGCTTTTTCCATTTACAGAAAAAAGTAAAACCGGGATTACTTCAAAAAATGTTTGAAACTGTTAAAATGTTGAAAAAGAAGAGCGTTAGTAACAGAATGCTACCGAGCGGCCGAGGGATGACCGAGGACGCCAACTCCTCGGGCTCCGATACGGACACGCAGACTGTGTACAGCTACAAAACGCACAGGGGCCGAAAACCCACCGGACAGAGTGCCGAGAGACCCGGACAAGCTCTGAGACGAGAATACTTGAAGGACATTATCGAGACGGATAGAGAGAGCGGCTTGAAGATCCAGGAAGGTTCTAGAAGGCAATCGCCCTACATGGAGCAGGAGTACCGGCGCTACTGGGACGAGAAGCTGATGTTCAATGAGAACAAGTCTCCGATACACTTCTCCGAGAAGTCGTACTCGGGCCGCGAGCCGGACGAGGCGCTGTTCTGGCGCGGGTACGAGGCCCGCAGCGCCATGCTGAAGAAGCGGCTCTCGAAGACGTTCCGGGAGCAGTGCCGCGCGCCGCTCCCCGCGCCCAGCGCCCGCGAGAGGACGGGCCTCAAGCTCGAATGGCTCAAGAAGCAGAAATTTAAATCTCCGCCCGAAAACATTTAAACGGTTCAGTTGTAAAAGTAAATTCTTGTGTCACGTGTAAATTTTTATAGTATTTAAAATAAATTAAGCATACTTTATTAACTCTGAGCTTAATTATTTCAGTCGGACGAATAAATTATCCAATAAGTTACCATAACCCTAAGTAAAAGTGTAAAAACCATAAGAATAATTAGAAGTTATAATGAAATAAATGGTATATTAAATAAAATACATCGGTACACATAGAGTAGGTTTTAATATAAGTATAACAAAATGAATTAACATCTATTAGCGACTAGGAGAGGATGGTTACAGTTAAGTTTAAGACATCACAATAATGTTATGCCGTCTTGAAGTCCGGCTTGGTGTCCTCGCCGCGCCGCGTGTACTGCAGGTCGTCTATCACAAACCTGGCAGAGAACACAACACTCTCAGGAACATCAACATTAAGTAAAAGAACGCTACCATTGATAAACTCTTTTGTAATGAATCAAACAATGGAATGTGGATATCGTCTCGATTAGATGTTCATCTATAAACTACAATTTAAGTGAAATTGCGCTAGTATCACTCTTGCAATGTTCTTTTTTTGCCTCTCTCATGCTGCATAAAGCCTATTATTGCTTTTTGTTTGATTATAATTTATGAATAGTCATTTAACATCACTTTACTCTTTCTTCTACCTCGCGTCTTTTAGCAAATTGTAACAAAATCGTCTGGTAAAGAATGCTGACCTGTAGAATAAGAACGGCAGGGGCACCGTGGCGAGGTGCCAGAGCGCGTGCGCGTCCCAGACGTAGAAGTATGGCGGGAAGTCGAGCAGCTCGAGGCTGAGCGCGGCAGCCGACACCAGCACGAAGGCCACCACCCGCCACGCGTACCTCCGCCCCGACACCCACTGCGCCACCCCCCAACACAACCATATCGCCGACCCCGACACGCCTGCGCACCACACCAACACACTATCACCACGTCTCAGAACCTAGCTGTATTACATTTTAAACGGACGAGATGACGCACAGAAAGTGGAAATATTCTCTGTCCTGTTGATAAAAGTAGGCAACACAACTGCAATTTTGGACGTCTATGGGCTGTGGTCGCTTCGCCATTATGACGAAGTCTGGTGGGGACTTGGAGGTTTGCCACCATTTAATATAAAAAAATCTCATAGTTTGCTCCGACTGTGCATCTCGTCTGCTCAATAAGTGTTAGAAAGGAACACCATATAAATTAAATTTGATATTCTCGTTAATATAATTTACCAAAGAACAAGTTGAGCATCATGTTGTAGTGATAGTCAACGCGTGCTGTGTACAGGTAGACGAGGTGCTGCGCGAACACCAGCGCCGACAGCACCACGATACTCGTCGTCAGCGTCCTCCGCTTCTTGAACACCCTGACAATATTGCATTCACTATAGTAAAACATCTCGTTAAAACAAAACACTTGTACTTTACTAATATTGTATTTTGTTTGGATGGATGTATGTTTATTCGAAGGTATCTGTAAAATGGCTGTATGGATCTCGATGAAATTTGGTATAGATGTAGAACATAGTCCTGTAAAACACGTAGACAAGACATATATTTTTAATAGAGCGCGAACGGACTCGCGGGCGACAGATAGTAAGAAATAAAATTTGCAATTATAATAAATTCAATAAAGATCCGAAGAAGAGTCAATTTTCTTAGGAAAGTCATAAATACCGGTCCTAATAATGAGTACGATTAAATGTCTAACATTTTGATAGTCATTAAAATAATAAAAGTGTCATGTTAGGTGTTAGGTAGTGCATTTTGCTGACCTGATGACAGCTGCAATGTACATGATCATGACCATAGAGAGCGCGCACGCGTAGTCCATGAATTCTGTAAATGGGCAGTCCCTCATGTGGAATAATGTGGACCAGGCCCACGCGTTCATACACACCTGCATACATCACATAAAGAATTTAAATGTCTTAACCAGAAAGCTTATATTATGACATTTTAAGTTGTTTGGTAACTGTAAAAAAACTGTAAAAAGAGGTGCGTCAAATGGAAGCTATACCGCTTATAGTCTGACGAGTGTGCGTTCCAGAGGCCTACCTTTTTTTTCCCTTCCCACCCTTTTCTTGTAATATAATGTTCTTGTGATAGAAAAAAAAAGATAATTACAGAATTTTCCTAAATGTTTTTTTTTCAATTATTCTATTTTAAGTGCTAATATTAAAATTCAAACATTGATGCTGAGTCAATCAAAAACCTAGTACATATTAAAATGGTAAATATTGTCCTATTAATTCTGTGCTAATATCTGTACATTAGTAAAAATACTGACCACAGCAAACAAATGCCAGAAAAGAACCATATTGTCCACATGATCTAGAGGAAACTTCTTCATGTACACCATATGCATGCGGACGTGCGCCGCCAGATTCAGGAAAGACGCGAGAGTGGATCCTGGCTCTTGCATCCCGAACAACCTTTCAAATGGCCACTGCAAATAAATTAATAATAGATACACAATCATACCATAGTCCAGATTCTGGCTTGTTGCAGACATTAAAGTACGAAGTTTAATTAGCTTAATAATTTCTTTTAGACACCTAGCAGTAGTAATTAAGTTTTTTTTAACCTCATAGAGTGAATCTGTTTGGCTGCCTGGAATGTATTTTTTATTACAAGCTATATTTTACCATTTTAAATCATAGCAGATTATTGAAACAATTTATTAATATTGTTTATCCATCATAAGCTTGGAGCTAAGGCTTTGTATCACAAAAACATTGTACGGGAATCAAACCTAGGTCCAAGATGTGATCAGTTCCGTATCCAAAAATATAATGCTATTGACACTACAATAATAATGTTAATATACTACTATTATAATAATAAAAGCACCATTTGTAGAAATGACAATTTGAATCCAATTACAGATAAACACTTTTTAACGACTGCCTCTCTACGAAATCTACAAAATGGTTAACCATACCGGGTACTATGAGCTATCTAGCAGTAAGAAAAGAGTCAAGAAAGATGCCTCATACCAGAGTTTGAGTAGGCAGATATCAGCCACCACCTGCCCTTTAAGTGAGAAAAATATACAAATAAACATCAAATATAAATTAATAAAAAGCAAAATAATTAAAAACTAACAGAATTTATCAATAACCTATCGCCGATACATTAAGGCAAGTTTACATTGCTACAAGGCTATATTAGAAAAATAAAATATACATCTATATACTGTGAGGGTAAATTTTTGCTAAAATTATACTAAATAAATTTATTTTTAATTTATAAGAAAAAATACCTTGCCGTGAAACTTTGGTATATCATAGCCCCGCTGCTCAAATCCTTTCACAGTTCTCCACATGCATTTATACCGACATTCATCCAAGCAGTTCCATCCAAATAGTGAGTTGGATTTAAGATTTTTTGCCGCCATTGCAGTGAATTGCTTCACATCTAAAAGATATAAACCATTACTACTTGAATTAAAATCTATAATATATTTTCTAAGTCAAGTTTCCAGCCTTTATTTACACACTGAATAAGATTCCAATGAGACAAACATTTTAAGACAAAAAATTAAATAGTTCTTCTAACAAAACTACCAAAAATATTAATTATTAATCAATAAACTAGTAAATATCTAGAAATACGTATATGTTACAGCTTAAAATATAATTTTCACCTTTAGTACAATCAGATTGTACACAAGTCTTCACACATTTCTGATAAAACGGGGATCGATCGCCATCGCTTGCCGATAAATATGAGACCTCATAAAATAAAATTAAAACAACAACGCACTTATAAGTAAGCGATTGCATTTTAACTAAATTGTGGGTATTTTTAATAACTTAACTGTTATTGCCTTGCGCGGTTTTATTTTACATCAATACTACAAACATTATCTTCTTATCTTATCACACAATCACAAACGCTTTCATTCATTTCATCTGTCATTTTACTTTTATTTTTTAATTTTATGACCTGGTAACATAGACCTTTAGGTCATATCTTATTTGTCTATCATTTTACATGAAAAGCGTAGAAAGATTAAAGATTACTGTAATTAAATTAAACAATTTAGGATGGTGCGTATGACGTTGTACGATAAGGGCTAAAAATTATTTATACTCTGCATTTTAAGGTTTCGAATAAAAAGTCAATATGACAATGACAAATGATATCATTAAGAAATGTTTTCAAGATTTAAATAAAAATATAAAAAGTAACCTATATGAACTATGGTTTTTATAACTAAAATTTGTTACGCAGTTAAAGAAATAAAAATACCGCGCAAATATTTACGTAGTAGGTTTATAGATTCCGTCAGACTACATGTAAAAGGTGGGACCGGTGGTACCGGGCTTCCTAAGTTCGGAGGTCTCGGTGGTCAAGGAGGATGCGTATACTGCGTAGGAAGCGAAAATGCCAATCTCAGACAAATGTCAAAGTATCGTGCTAAGACAATCAGCGCTGGTCACGGTGAAGATAGCCGAAAAACTAAGATAGTAGGTAACCCAGGTTCTGACATTAAACTAGAAGTACCGCTCGGTGTTACAGTTTACAGAGAAGATGGTAAAGTCTTAGGTGCCATAGACAAAGAAGGCGATACAGTCATAGTGGCTAGGGGAGGTCCTGGAGGAAAACCAGACAACAACTTCTTAGGGCACTTTGGTCAGATTCATCACATCCGTTTAGACCTTAAATTGATCGCAGACATAGGCCTTGTCGGTTTTCCGAATGCAGGCAAGAGTTCTCTACTCAAAGCTATTTCTAGAGCTAAACCACGGATAGCAAACTATCCTTTTACAACAATAAAACCAAATAAGGGTATAATCCAGTATGAGGACCTCAGGCAAATTTCAATGGCGGATCTGCCAGGTTTAATAGAAGGGGCACATATTAATATTGGTTTAGGACATAAGTTCTTAAAACATGTAGAAAGAACAAAATTGTTGCTATTCATTGCTGATGTTGAAGGCTTCAGATTGAGTCCAAATCATACAATGAGAACATGTTTAGAAACAGTTCTATTGCTGAACAAGGAGTTGGAACTATATGATCCGGAATTACTGAATAAACCAGCTATTTTAGCCATTAACAAAATGGATTTGAATGGTGCAGAAGAAATTTTTGGAGAAGTAAAAGAATCACTTACAAATATACATAATATTATTGACAAAATGCCTGAGGAAATACGTCCAGAAAATATAATTTCATTTGAAGATATAATTGGTATATCTGCATTGAAGGGAAGTTCTGTAGAAGAACTGAAACAGCTGCTCAGGAAGAGACTAGATGACTTAGCAGAAGAAAGTAATCCAGATATAATTGAACCTAGTAGATTGTTGAAGAAAAACAGAGCCATTGTCAGAGAGAGAGGGCCACAAATCACATGATATGCTACGAAATTTGAAAGTAAATAATTGTAAATATAATATTAGCAATTGTTCAGTTTTTTTTTTAATAAGCTTGTGTTTTATATTCTGGCAACTAAAAATTATCTATTGGTCAATTTCTTAAGTTACATTTAAGGACTCTATTTCATTATAAAATGCTGATAAGCAAAGAACAAACTCATGTAAGTATTTTCATATATAAAAAAAATAAAACACGCAATTTATACAATTAAAACTTTATTAAAATTCGATTAACATTGCAATTATAAACTAAAAACAATCACAACTACAAACTTGTATTACAAATTGTCTCCTCCCTGTCGCAGAGACAAGCCTTTCTTTATCACAGCAATCAATGTTCACTACTCTTATGCACATAACAATTTACACAAAAGTCACTACAATATAATTACATATATTCACTTTAAAAAATATTTTTATTTAGTGCATCCTGGTAATGGAGTTATGCAAAATTTTTTAAAGCCAAAGTTCATCCAGAGAATATATAAATTTATACATACTTATATATTATTATTTTTGGAACATGCATCATTGTATTTTTACTTATAAAATAAACCTAATCTACATAAATATAAGATCTATATCATATCGAACATAAAATTAAAATTTATAATCTCTGCTTCTCCATCCCAATATTCAAAACATTGTATGCCCTGAATTATATGATATGGAAATCCATAAACAATATTGGTTTATTCTCACTGACCTTTATACATGGACAGGCTGTAAGCTGTGGTATTTTGTGCCTATTTGATTTTCAACATTTTAGCGCTAACTAGTTGTATATTTATTTGTCAGTAACATCAAATTGCATGTTTAAGACGCAATGAAAATTGCCAAGCAACAACCTGTTCATAGATCAGTGAATATGTAATTGTATGATTTAACGTCTTATCAAATACATACATTATTTAACATAAATTAAACTTATAACCTAAATATTATAACAATCAAATAATTAGGCCACACACAATTACAAGTTTCAAATGAAAGTTTCTATGAAAATATTGCTTAGCTTAATAAAGCTTACAACATATGCTGTGAATCTAGATAAACAAAATCTACCAAAACTACAACGGAATCATACTGATTTGACAAATTGAAATATACTGTAGAACATCATTGAGAAATAAAATTTTCTAGGCCTGTGTGGATTTACTTACTCAGTGCAGTTAATCATTAAGACAATACTCAAGACCTTGTATAAAACATCCACACCGATTAAGTCAATATTAAATTATTGACTGGCAGTACGAGTTTGAATTTAATGTTTATAACTTTAAAATAAATATTTTAAAATTTCAGGCAAACTACGTTACATTCCAGAAATCAGAATAATAGGCATTTAAAAAGTATGGCTGTTTTATTTTAGAAGATGTATACAAATAAGTTTACGAATTACAATGTAATCCGTCAACAAAGTGGAAATCTCTAGAAAAATAATTTAAAACATCAAAGCGAGACTAGAAGGTACAGACTACACACTAAATAACTTAAAAAAAAGATGTCGTTGCGATAAAAATTAAACTTAATCCTATTTTATGTTCACACAACAAAAATGACAAAACAAGACTTTTTCAAATATACACACAAATAGTGATTTTTAAGGTTACAAGCAACAAATATATTTTAAGTTGTTTGAACACAAGAGACATTTCTATTAAAAAATAATACTTACCTATGTATTTTAAATATTCTTTTTATATTCGCACATTCAATGGAACTGTAATTTATTGTAAAATTTCGCTTTCGTAAATATTTCAGTCATGTCGATACAAAAAAAATCGGCATTTAATTCGTAACCACATCTGAAAAAAAGAGATTTTTATAATCACATACACTTAGTCACATTATCCAGATTGGTGACTGACATACTATGACGGAGGACCATTTCCTGGTGTCATGAGTGTGTCATAGCGTGTCAGACGCAGTGGCAGTGCGCGCGGCGAGCGCTGTCTCACTCGTCGTAAGTCTCGGCGGCCTCCTTGGCAGTCTCTGCGGGAGGCACGCTGCGCCGCGAGCCCCTCGACCCCGCCGAGCTGGTGGAGCCCGCGGACTCCGCAGACCCGGTGGGGGACGCCGCCCTCACGCGCTCCGGGCTCACGCTGCTGCCTGTGGTACATAGTTAAAGTCATAAAACATTATGTGACAATACGTAAGTCTCACAAATACGTGGAAGTCCTTAGTGTAGGTTTCTTATAGTAGTTGTGTACTGACCGGCACGAGCAGGCAGGGCGCGGTCGGAGCGAGGCTTCTTGCCGTTGGCGGCCTCCTCACGCGGCTCTTCCACCTGCGCCGGACACTCCAGGTGCACCAGGTGGAACACCTGCATACAACATCATCAGTTATAGCGTATTGTGTTATCGCGGTTTGTCCATTTACATCTGGAAGATGATTCACCTCATTGACAGAGTTGTGAGTGCCGACAATACGGATGACGGAGACTGGCCGCGGACTGAAGTAGATCACCTGCCACGACCTGCAATATTACATTATAAATTAGAACAGTTTTTATATCATACCGAGGCAAACGAGAAAGCGCCCATCTGAATACACCGAAAGAGCGAAACGACCACTGTCCATACACATCGACAATAGCCGATGCGACGCTAATCTTTAATGGATGGAGGGGAGCATGTATAAAAGAGGATATTTCCTCTTCTTATACATCCCTTCTTCCCTTAAATCCATTTTCTTTGTACATCGTTTCCTGATAAGATATGTGTGTGTGTGTGCGGCTGTGTGTAGGTGTGACCTGCAGTGGTCGCGCGTGCGGTCGGCGACCATGTCCCAGTGCCAGTAGTTGACGGAGGTCTCGACGTAGTAGGAGTAGTGGCGGTAATCGCAGTCCCACAGCAGCAGGCGCAAGGAGGAGAGCATGTAGGGCTGCGCGAGCTGCACCACGATGGCGCCGGAGCCGAGCTGGTGGCAGGTGTAGCCCTGCTCCCAGTCGTAGTGCTCCGTGTCGCCGTTCAGCAGCGCGTTGCGGCATCGGCTGCGCACAACCAAACATTGTCACACATCACAACATCGGAGATGAGCACATTCTGTTAGATGTAGGTGGATTTTTTGCCAGTGACTTTTTTGTTAATTGTACTTTAAAAATATTAGTGTTTTACAAATTCTCATAAACAGCGGTTTGGTATGGTCTGCAAAAACGGGACTATGTAGTCTTCGCTGGGGACACGGTGACAGACTAACAGGCTGAAAGCGAGAGTATCCCGAGAGAGTAGTGGGGAGGTATGGTGAGGTCAGTTGTCCGGTGGATACCTGATGCCCTCGATGACGACAGCGGCGAGGTCGACAGTGGCGACGTTGTGCGTGGGGCGCACCAGCCCGTTGCAGAGCGGCGGCACGCGCGCAGTGTACAGCGCCTCCAGCGACACCGCGTGGAACACCTAACAACGTAGTTAATAGTTTTCTTTTACTTCGCACGGATGTAGTCGAGGGCGACACCTGGTTATCTAGTTACCTTATCATTCAAATGAATATTGACTGACGTCATATCTCATAAGTAGAAATAAGAATGGGAGAAGAATGGAAAATAATAAAATGTTTGTATACCTGAAATTCGACAAAACATATCTTAACCTTATTAACAGTGTTGCTAGTGCCGACTATCTTGATGTACTGGACGACCCTGGCCTCGAAGTACAGGTTCTGCCAGGATCGGCAGAAGTAGTTGCTGTGGTCGATCACCCGCACCCAGTCCTGCTGGTCCACCGACACCTCGATGTAGTACGCGTACGACCTGCGCATGCGCCTGCACACTTCATCACAATGACCTTTACACATACACTAACATACAAACACTACGCCCTAAAGGAGTAAGCAGATATTATGTACTTCAATTTTATTAATCACTAGTGTTTTTACAACACTGTTCTCGAGCTTCAATCGCAAAAAAATTCACCATGAAAATGATGAAAATATATATATATATATAGCTTAAAACTTACTTTAGTAAGTAAAGATTTTGGAAAATATTTTTTCAGATATTTCGTGCTTGCTAAAACCTCACATTTAAATGACATAGGTAGTAGAGTAGACAGGTAGATGCGTGTTGTGACCTGTGGTCGCGGTCCCAGAGCAGCAGCCGCAGATGGTTGAGGATGGTGGGCGTGGCGAGGCGCACGGTGATGCCGGGGTTGTCGGCCGCCTCGCTGATGGTGTGTCGCGTGTAGCCGCGCTCCATGTCGTAGTTGTCCACGTCTCCGTCCAGCAGCGCCGACCTCATGTCGCCCGACACCACGCGCGCGCCGCGCTTCGCCGTCGCCACGTTCTCCTCCGGCACTGCACAACCCTCTCATAACATACCATACGTGATAAAAGGTATATCCACAACGCCTCAATGGATCTTCGTGAGATTTAACATAGATGCAAATATAGTGTGGCACACAGAGGCCAATAATTAAGCTTTTTCTTAATTCCGCACGACTGGAGTCGCGCGCGACAGCTAGTATTGCAATAAAAATTGTGTCATTTTCTAGCACCTCAGTATTTTAGTTCTAATTGTGTTGAATGTTTAACGAAACGTGTAGCCACATAACATAAGTAGCGATGTTCGCGTGATAACAATAAGACATTGTATGTATATCTGACATAGGAAGCCGCGATGCGGCAGGTCGGTGCTCTTGGTCTGCGTCTTGTCGTGGATGGCGTCCAGCAACATGTCGGGAGTGACGAGCGCCACCGGCCGCACCGCCGTCAGCAGCTCCTCCAGCGACATCAGCGTCAGACGCACGCACTTCAGGATCTTCTCCTGTCGCAACACAACACTTATTGTACTCCCCTCTCTAACGTTCAACACGGGAAGGAAATGCATAAGAAGAATGAAAGTACAAAAATAACCCCTTATCTGTCTATTAACAATATTGTTAAAAAAGGTAAGCATTGCATCTACAATGTTCGAATTTATTGCTAGAAATTATTTTAAAAAAAATTGTGCAGTTTGCCTATGGTGAAAAGAAATCAGATTGAGATTGAAAAGAAATATATTTAAGTATACTCACAACTTGCATCATGCCACTGTCTGACTTGACCCATTGCTGGTTGGCGGTGAACCAGTTGCAGACCGCCTTAAATATGTCCACCTCGGGCGCGAAGAACGAGTCGCGCTCCAGTAGACCTTGCAGCGCTTCCTGCACCACAATACACTAATATAAATAACTAGGTAAAAAAAAAATAGTAGCCTATGTGTGCTTTCAAACTATCTTCGCCATCTATGCCAAATTTCAGCAAGATCCATGGACAGATTCTTGAGATACCTTCTAATAAACATTCTCATTCACATTGATAATATTGGTAAAAAGCAAGATTTTCACATACTCTTCTCTAGATCTATCCTAAAATATACAATGTAAAGGGTCTTAAAGAAAAGATATCCAAAGCATCAGACTATAATAACACCATACTGTTCATACAACATTCCATACATCTCTGCTACTTACAACAGACAGCTGTAGAAAGGAGTCATGCTGCAACACCTCAGTGGCGTTCCTGTCCAGGAAGTTGTAGCAGTAGTCCATCAGAGCCTCCAATCCATACAGTCTATAAAAAATTAAAAAGTTTGACACACCCAAATGCTAAATACTTTTTTCTGTCACTGCTCCTCTCACAGCCTCTTACAGCCATAAAAGTAACATAAAAACCTTCCATAATAATTAGTAAAACTTTTTAAACGAAATTGGTAGTTCCCGAGTTCAATGTGTACAAACAAACAAACTCTTCAAATAATAAGATAGACTATTGCAGTATAGACCTGGCGGCGTCGAGTACTGCACAGACATTCCTGAGCGCGAGCACCTGTCGCAGATAGTCTGAGATAGCAGACTCCAGCTCCTGGAAGTTGAACTGGTGCGCCAAACCCAGCATATCCAGCACTGTGTCCTCACGCAGCAGCGACAGCCCCATGTGCCCTGACACAGTTACACTCACCATTTATTGTGTGATAAAACGTCAAAAGTTTAATCTTAATTCTTGATGTACTTAGAAATCTACAATTTTAAAAGGAAATTGATACTAAACATTAAAATAAAATCAATTATTAATAGTTTAAATCAATCAAATATTCCTCACAAAAGTGTTATTTGTGTGGGTCTTTTTGCCTACAAGTAAACTTTCAAGAGAATTGTTGAATTATTTAACATCTATTTGTCAATTGTAATGTTTTTATTTAATAAGAACAAACTACTTACCGGAATAAACATATCGTAACAATGCTTTAAAGGCCTGGAGAGGTGCTTGCAGTTCTACTTCAGCCTGAGACAATATTTTGTTTTAATTACATACATATTTTGGATACTAGCTACATCTAGTGTTGAATGATAAGCCAATACACTTTTATACCAGTATATAGTAATTTAAACTATTCCTAAGAATATTTATAAATGTTATTTCACCTGGTTGGCTTCTCTCATGCCTCCATACAGCAGAGCTCTGAAGTAATCACTGCTGGCCGCAAGGATCACCTTGTGGGCAGGGATCCTCTGACCCTCTACTATCAGAGTCACATCTGAGTACTCTGAGGATAGGCACAGAGACCCAATATGCTCCGACAGATGGCCTAATAGTGAAGAAAATAAAATGTAAAACACTCTTAGTTACTTAACTTTTATTTTTTGTTTTTCATTTTTATTGTTTATTTTGTCTGCCTCATGCCAATTCAAACACATGATAAATAAATAAAGGATAGTATTAAATTGATTTATAATATTGTATTGGTTTGATTAATTATTTATTTCAAAAAGTATGTAAACAACATAATTGTTTTACAAATAGTTAAATTAAATTTTACTTTATTTTAAAGAAAAAAAGCATACTTATATGTTCAATATCTCCAACCCTGGTGCTGGGGGAGTTGTTCACCGTCATATACTGATGTTGGCTGCTCATCTTTTACTTCCAGCATCGAATGCAGGTCTTCATGTAAAGTTTCAATTTAGACAATGTGACAATCTTATATTTTTGGCAAAAAGTAAAAGAATGCTAATAGTGTAATAATTTATATGACACAACAAAGGTTTATAGGTTTGTAAATAGAAAATATTATAGGATCTTGTAAAGGAAACTCTAAATGTTACTTGGTCTAGATAATAAACTTATACTTTTCATTTAAAACTTCTTAAGTAATTTCGTAATTCTGATTGTTTCTACGACGATTTGAAATTGTTCAATAGGTACATAATGTGACACGTAAAAAGAAATATTTTGCAAATCTTACTATAAAACAATAAGAATAATAAATGATTACTTCTAGACTTATCGAGGAGTATACCGGGTATATATGACGAAAGATTTGTGGTCTCTTTATTATTCGTGTAAATATTAATGCGCAATGACAAAACTTTACAACATCAATATCAAACAATCCACGTACCTGAATATGTGAAATTGATGAAGTGGTATTAGAAATTCAAAGGATAACAATTTACACTGTAACAATAACAAACACAAGTTTATTTTAAAGAATTATAAATAAACACTTGAAAAGGTAAGCAATATCCTTTGAACTGACATTTACATTTGACATTTTGTATTTTTACTGTGTGTTCATTTTAATTTATCAGCTATAGATAGAGGTCTTTCTACCTTTTGGTAACCATAAAATACAAATGCCAACTTCTAACAAATGTTCAAAATTTAATAAATTATTTTTACACTTATAAATAGTTTTATATTAATAGATATATAGGTACATCAAATATTGGACATCAATAAATTCAACAACTTAAATCATTGAAACGCTTTTTACAGTGTGAGAAATAAACAAAGATGTATGGACTCCAAATATTCAATAATAATTTGAGTTTGTTTAGCAGTATTTATAAATCGTTTTGAAATCTTTTTTTCACACACATGTTATAATTTGTTAAAATCTTAACTTTTATTAATGTATCCAAACGGAAAACTAAATAAACGGAAACTCGTAGCGGGAACGTGAACTCTGAACGTAAACTTGTAAATTTGATAGCTATATTATTATTTCCGTTTCGTTATTTCCTGTTTTTCTAATACAAATTGAACATCTGATAAGAAAAAAAAACCGTCTTTTATGTTAATATCCTCACAAACATATTTGTATTATAAGTTCCCAAATTATTACGCAATAAATGCTATAGAGTTTACATACTTTAATACATTTTACATAGCAACAATATGACTATTTATTTAAATTATTTCTTCTAAAGCTTGCATTAATATAAAACTTTGAAAACTGTAGCGTAGTGTATCATTTTAGAAAGCTTTGGACATCAAAATCTTAACAAATAGTTTTATAATTTGTTATGTTATGTATGGTTATGATAATGGTGCGCTCGTCTTTCATTTTTTTAGCTGAATAATCGGGCGCGAAAGCACCGTCACAGAAATGCTCGAATTTCATTGGTTAAAAATTTCGAAAGTACCAACCTAACGAATGGTGTAATAATTTGGCTATGTTGTCAGAATTATTACCAGTTGTGTAGGCAGGTAAATTTTGTCGCTTTGCTGAGTGGAATTTATTTTTCTTTAATGGGTTTTAAGACGAAAATGATATTGTAATGCCTTGAATAATACCAAGAAAATTCTACTTCAACTTCAAAATATTAAATGTAAGTAACAAAGAGCCCTATTAGTGTTTCAAGAACTTTTCTTTTTAAAAGGTTGTGGTCCTGCAAAAGTAGCTGCACAATTGATAGAGTGCGATAGTCGCGAAAGAAAAATGTTCTAATTTTGGTTAATGTAATTGAATAGAAAAGTAATGTAGTTTTTTTAAGATTGTTTTCAAATCGTCAATTAAAACTTTGTCGCTGCGTATTAATAATATTTATCCTGAGTTATGCGCTGAAATTATTTTACTTGACAATATTTAATTTTTAAATGATTTCCAGGTGGTCAATAATGAATTGCAAAAGATAATTTAAACTTCTGTAATGAATTTGTCAATATTTCTGAGGCCGAGAAATGGACAGGCAGCAGACTAGTACACTTCAAAACTTTGACGATCCGAAAACTGATATATTAAAAAAAAGACTATTAAAGACTTCTAACTCAAACGTTAGTGCTGTTTTTTCACAAAACTGTTCGCAGAATAATGTACTGTTGAACACGTTGCGCGTGAGTTTAGCTATTATTTCTCGTAAATTTCAATATGTTGCGCCAACACTAATGTTCTTTTATTTTACAGGCGCCGATCTCGAGCAGCATGATCGTTTCCTCGATGCAGGCGCCACAAAGCTCGATGCCGATCACTCACAACTTAGTAACTCATTCAATAGCCCCTGTGAAGATTCATCCAAATAATTCCCCATATCCTCTGCAGCTGTCCACAGTACATGTGCCAGTGCAGATACCTGGATCTACTTCTAATATAAATGTTCCTGTTCAACTCTCAGCAGCAACAAACTCTATGCCTTTACAAATAACCCCCGTCAGTCTTCCACTACAAGTTTCTGGTACAACCAATGTGCCCGTCCAGTTGCCAGCGGGAGAAACAATAAATGTTCCACTACAGTTACCACCAGTTAGTCAAAATATACAAATAGGTGGACAAGCATTGCCTCCTATGCCACTTTTACAAAACGCACACAGTTCAATATTCCATGTTCACATGGGTTCTAATGCCAGACCCCCAAATATTGATGTGAATTCTGACATGAGTGTGTCAAGTTCTACTCAGCCTTACCTTCCTGATTCAACAATTCAAGTCAAAATGAATAACCAAACATCAGTAGGTCAAGTTGTCTCAAATTCTGGTATGGTGCAAATACCAAATACATCCAACAGTTCAATACAATTGTCATTACCAAATCCTGGTAATTCTGGAACAGTGCAGCTTCGAGGTGCACCAAGAAGTGTGCCACATGTTGTGTACATACAGACACCTACTGGATTGAAACCAGTCACTAATACAGAAGTTATAAGCCAAGCCAGTACCAGTGGGAATCCACCACAGATCATAGTAAGGAGACCAGTGAGTATATTTTTCTACACATATTTTTAACAACTGCCTTATATTGTCTATTTAAATATTTTAAATAGGGAGGTAAATGTTATATGTGACTAAAATTAATAATTATAACTTAATTTTAAATTTGTTATTTTCCTTTATCTTTTACAGGAAAAAGAAAAAGAAAAGAAAACATTCTTTCTAAAATTAAACAATTTGTCATATGTCTTATTTTATTAGTAAATGTAACTTTTTCATATCTTAGATCAGTCACTAATATTTGTAAAGTTTGCATATAACAGCACACAGCTACTTTTTGAATTATTTACTTACTAATTTTCTCTCTTACAGGTTGCTAATAATTCAAACATTCATTTGATATCAAATGTAAATAAACCCACAATTGCTCAAATGCCCAAACCAAAGTCATCAATATTGGCACCAGCAAATGCTTCCCAACCAATTGTCATCCAGAAACCAAAAGCAAGTGATAAAATGATGGTCCCAGTGAGCATCGCTCCCGTACCACAAGGCAAACAGGCCATTGCATATTTGGGGCCTGTAAAGAAAAATAATAAAAACATATCAGAAAATCAATCCATCCTAATATCAAGCAATCAACCAGCTCCAAACACAAATAATCAAAAACTCTTCTTAACTCCAATGAATATGCCCAAAATGAATAATGCAAAATTTATTTTACCAGTTACATTGCCAGCCACAATGGCTTCAAAGGGTCCGATTATAAATTTACAAATAGCCAATGGACAGATACAAAATGATCATCAAGGAAACATTACGGTTATGAGAGATACTGCCCCCATGGATACATCTGATATGTCACTTATGTCACCTTTATCAAATGTAGTAAATGGTAAAGACATTACAGTTACTAATTATCAGAGTACACCAGACAAGTCCTGTGCTATATCAATTCAGGGCTCACGAGCTGAGCCTACCGGGGAGCAAGGTGAATATACTTTGTCTATACCTGAAACAAATGCCTCCATGAATGATGATATTTATACTGTATCAATAGAAGATGAAGGTGGACAAGCTCATGAAAAATCCTTTACTTTGGCAATACCAGAGAAAAGTAAAAGCTTATTAAACAAGAATATTATAGATAGGGATATAGGACCACCAGCAGTGGCAGCTCCAGCTATTCTTCGACGCTCGTATTCCGATAATAGTGACAGAAAAGTGTCCAATGCAAGTATGAAAAGACGCATATCCCTGTGTAATGAAAATTTCACAAAGAAACTGACTAAGGAATCCTTTACACAATTAATACAGAAATCAGAAGTACAAGATTCAGAGAACAATGATGATCACCGTGTGCCTTCATTGTTCTGCGACGAGAAGCTGGACAAAGATCTAGATATCAAAATAACTACTGAAGATTCCGATCCTGAAGATGATAAAAATAAAATAAAATTGATCCCCGAGGTAAGCGTTAACATTACGTACGAAAGCTTAGATGAAGATAATTCAAGGAGAGGGCAAGGGAGTAGTGAGCCCACTTCAGAGGAAGATCCTCCAGGTTTGATATGGAATAATGGTGTTGCTCACTTGCAGGGCAGCGGGCTACAGTTTCAAACTAATGAGTTTGGCCTAATTGATTTGATATCTAGCAACAGTAATGGTAAAGAATCGTCTCATAATGGAGCTAAGTATAATTCGCCAATAAAGCAGGACAACGGAAGCGCCGGCAGGGAAAAGAAGCCCACCTCCCCGGAGGATCTGTACCGTTGCGAAGTGTGCGGGTGTCACGGCATGGCGGCGGAGTTCATAACACCAAAGTTCTGCAGTTTGACTTGTCAAGAGGAAATGCGGAAGATTACCCAGAAGAAGAGGGATAAGGAAAGAATTGATAATGCAAAAAAGAGAAATAAAATGAAGAAATTGCTTATGAGAAAACAAGGGGATTCTGATTTAATACAAGATAGTAAAGATAAAGTTTCACTGGGATACGATTCAATGCCGAATGATATTCAAATGACGGAAGTTCCATTGCTTCAAATGACTGAAGATTATGAAGACGAGAAATATCCTTGGATGTGCGGTAAAAACGGATTCTCATGGATGCGTTATTTGGATATATGTAAAGCCAAAGCTGCGCCTGTCAAATTATTCAAAGACCCTTTCCCGTACAACCGAAATGGTTTCAAAGTTGGTATGCGTTTGGAGGCAATAGATCCCCAGCATCCGTCTCTGTTTTGCGTAGTGTCGGTGGCTGAGGTGCAAGGCTACAGGATGCGTCTGCATTTCGACGAGTACCCTGACGTGTATGACTTCTGGGTGAATGCGGACTCTATAAACATATTTCCTCCGGGCTGGTGTGAGAAGAATGGCCGAACCCTGAAGCCTCCAGCTAGCTATACATCCTCTTCCTTCTTTTGGCCTTTATACCTGAAGAAATTAAGGGCTGTTGGCGCACCAAAGCATCTGTTCCCACATGTCGCTACAACGGTGAGTTGTACTTTTTATTTCACTCAATTATATGTGGTCAGGAGCTAATGATAAAGTTGTATACTTCCAAACATACACACAGTTGATAAAAGTTACAATTAATTGAAACTATCGACAATTAAT